TAATTGCCCACCCCTGAATCAGATATACCATGTAACGGCTTTGGTACCAGAAGCAGAAGAACTGTATTAGTGCTTCATTCCTCCCAAGCTATTTAGGCCTGCTGAGAAACAGGGTATGTTAACTTGTGGGGCATGCCAGTCTAACATGGTGGTACTGTTTCCTATACCTTAACGAGCTCATTCAGAGCCTGCCCAGCATTTCCACGCACATGCAAAGTACAGAGTAAACATACCCTATGTGCATCATCTGTAAATGCTGAAGAGAATAACACTTCCTGATTGCTCAGAGGTACTCTAAGAATAAAGGCGCTAAAGACTGCAAAGTGCTCAGCTACTCCAGTGATGGAGGTCATGTAAGTACCTAAGGATATATCTATAGGGAAGACTGCAGTGTGATGTAAAGGCATTTGAGGCAGGTGTGAATGAGCCAACTTCCTCAGCAATGTGGAGCTGAGAAACAAAGGAAATTAATTGGACGATGTAGCAAGACTCAGTCTCCATGGCAGGTCACGGCATCCCCCAGTGGCCTACTTGTCCTGCATGCTCCCCTCTGGCCTGTCAGGGATCACCGTGTTATTCTACTTGCCATGCCTTGATGGTAAAATTGGGGATACTGCCCTCAGAGGCCAACGTGAGATTTCTGGACTCAGTCTCATTCACCATGGGTGCATCTACATGTGCACTTTAATGCTCATTAGCCTATTTTACTGTGCATTAAAGCATTATGTAAAAAACCATGCCACTATGCTAATGTACAGTAAAATAGGCTACTGCACATTAAGCATCAGCTAAAAACTATGCACAGTCATTACTATGCATTAAGGCAGCCTAATGCACATTTATGGCACATTGGAGGTACTCAATTTAATGCACATTAGGAAAATTACTTTAATGAACTTGTAGACATGCCCCATGGGACTCTGACTCCCTCTAGAACTCCCACTCTCTCAGGTTGGGGCTCTGACCCCCTTTGTAAATCCTTGTACCAGGCTATTGGCCTTACCTGCCTTACACTGGGTCCTGTCAGCCCTAATCATGGCCTTCTAGGCCTTGACTGCCTCCAGGGCTTCAGTTGTGGCCTTCAGCAATCCCTATGGCCACAGCCATGCCTTGCAGATTCTATTTTATGCACTTCACCATGCCTGTGCTCTTCACCACCTTTGGCCCTATCCCGGTTGCAGCCCTCTGAGCCTCTCACTCTGCGCTGTTCCCTTTAGCCTGTGAACTCGTTGACTTTGGCCCACATGGCCCACTCAGTCCTAGACTTTTCTGGGGCTCAATGTTGGCCTCCACTCCTTCCCTATTCACATTCTGGGCCCTGGCCCTGGCTCAGCTCTGCCTCCCAGACCCTTGCAAGGCTCTCAGTAAGCCTTAGCCCCTTATTTATTCAAGCACTGGGCCCCTGGCCATTTTTCAGCTCTAGCCCACACAGCCCCCTGAGTCCTAGAGCCTGGAAGTGTTCTATTTTGGCTTCAGCCCTCTATGACATGGAGTATCTCCCCACCAAGCCCAGCAGCCCATCCATGGCCTTCACATCACCCCTATCAGCCATACCCAAACCTCTGGTCTGAGCGTTCAGGTCCTAGCAGTTTCCAGTCTTACACCTGCTGGCTCCCTCCAGTTCTTCTGGGTACTTGGGCTGACTTGGCCCCTTACCTTAGCAGCCCAGGCTTTCAGAGACTCTTCTCTGTCTGCAGGTCAGGCCCACACTAACCCTCTAGCTCTGGAGCTAGGCTTTAAGTATACTGGGCTCCCTGCCTTTCCAGTCATTTGACCTCTGATTAATTCAGGAGGTTCTGCTCAGCCCTGCTTTGCTCTACTACAGTCTACCCAGCTGTCCTCCATTAGTTACTTGTCTGCTTGCCCCTGTGGCTTATTGCAGAGTATGTTCTCTGTATCTTCCCCAGAGCTGCATACTTCTTTGCACCTGGTCTCTGTTCAGCTGCCTGCATTGGATTGCAGCCCTCTAATGCTGCCATCCTAGTCCCTAAATAGCAGGGGTTAGGGGACCCCACTACTGGCTAGAATGCTTCTGGTACCCAAACTCATTTGTGTTATTGCTCTGGTACACATTGCAGTCCATAATACAGAAATACCTAAAGAAAGAAATGGCTTAGTAGTTATTGAGTTTTGTCACAGGAGATACCTAAGCTGTGTGGTTATGGAGAAGTTTCCAGCTAACTGAGAGCATGAGTGAAGATCTTTCTATGGTGTGCTGCCATGAGGAGCTGCGTTACTGCTCTCAGCCCACTCTACACTTTGGACCTCAAAGGCTTGGTTTACGTGGGCACTTCTAGGACTGAGTGATCTTGAGAAATTTCTGCAGACCTTTTTTGCTCTACAAAATTTGATGGGAAATCTCTTCAGTTTAGCTTTTGACAAAGACTTTTGTAGCAGTTCCTAATGGCTTCATAATGTCATGAGTGGGTCCTTTTTGGTGGAAGCTGGCAGCTACACATGAAAACAAATAAGGAAGAAAACATTTCCCAGAGATTTCAACTCACAAAATGAGGCTAGCCTGAAGCGTGGATGAAGATTCATGTTGGTGCTTGGTTCCCAATTTGTTTGACCATCCTTAACTGTAAAGCAGCTTAGGGACTATTTACCCTGTCATTACTCCTCTTCTTCAACAATGTCATACCAATTGTGTAAAATTAACGTAGCAGATTTGGGGGGCAGGGGGAAATTGGTCCTGGAGGTAGGATGTGGGGCTTACCAGGCTGGGGACTGAGCAAAAGGAAATAGCAGCTTAAGAGTAAGGATGTGACTTGATAAGCTTACTACCTTCCAGCCCCAGGACCAGCTTTGTGGCATATTTCTTTGGATTAAGAGCTCAAGACAAACATGATCGTTTCTTCCAAGTGGATAGTTAAATGAAGAGGAAACCCATGCTTCAATGCCTTCTGGCAGACAATAGATCCAAACTCCTATTTCCTGAACCAAACAGAAATAGGAAAACAACTTACATGGAGTGCCCGCTAAAATAATACATCTTGCAAGACTTACCAGTGCATGAAAAAATAGACAGGGTGAAGTAATAGAACTAAAGGGATTTTGTGTGAAAAATCCAGATCCATAAAACAATAGGGCTCCTCTAAATTGGGGGTGGGAGAGGGACAGAGAGATAGGAGATAAAATTATTCTTTGAATAGAAAAGACCCAGATTCAAAACTGCAATGAGATCCACTAGGTATAGAAGGGAAGGTTATCCAGGAGTCTTGCACAGCTTGTACGCCAGTCAGGGTTACAGAAAGCTAATAATAAACTACATCAGCTGCCAGAATGCCAATGAGATCACCTGCCCACTGGGAACAGCCACAGCATGGATGTGGTCTGGCTATATCCACTGCCAGAGATTCTTACCTTCTCTTTATCCTGACGTGCCATATATTGGGACAGGGAGTGAATGGCGGGGTTGAATGCCAAGGGAGACTTCCTTCCCCAGCAAGGAGGATTCCTATTGCCACCCACACCTATGACTTCTGGTTGTATCTGGACAACAGTGATTTCAAGGGTCACTGAAGTGGGGCCTACCTTTGTGGCAAGACTGACACAAATTAAGCCCCACAAACTCCCCAAGTGCAACTCCAACCCCTTTCTCTCCCCAGTCTACCAGTTTACTCTCTGTTCCCTGCCCTGTGCTCCCTACCCTTTTTGTTGCTCTGTTTTTTGCTTCTTGTTTATGCTCTCTGCCTAGTCTGCTTCTGTGCTTTCTGAAACTTGCCCTGTCTGCTGCTGAGCTTCCTGTCCCATCCCTGATCTAGTGTGTGTCACATACAGAGGCAGGCATGTAAGCCACAGGTTGACCACCCTGAGGCTACAGCTGTTGAAGTAATGGTAAGTACAGCTGGTTGGAGAGTTTTCAGCATTACCATATAAATCAGATTGATTTAATCAAAACTTGGTTTTGGAAGAAAATGAGAAATAAAATTCCAGTAGTGATAAACATCGAGCTTCAAATTTTACAGAATGAAACATTTTGATTTTCCCTTTTGAAGATGATGATTATAATACAAAATAAAGAAAATGAAATTGGAACATAATGCTTCAATTGGTTTGTAAAAGGTTTGTAAATTTTCAGGTTTGCCTCCAATCCAGAACCAAGAGAAATTCTGAAATGTCAAAATCATACAGCTTTAGTGAGAAGTATGAGATGAAAAGTACCTATTAATCCACCTCAATAGCTTTGCCATTAGCTTGTTTGCACATTGCCTATCATTTATGGTACTTGGACTCTTATCCAACCATAGATACTTGGACAGCCCTAATGTGCCAGTGACAAGGAATTCTGATCCAAGGGTTGACATTTTCACATACAGTGACATTTCTCATTACCATTGATTGGAAAACAGAACCTTAATTAAGGAAGGAAAGAAGGAAACAAAATGTTAACGTTTTTATTTAAAAGAATGGCACACTTATTTTGCATTTGTTCACTAATTGGATCTTTGATTTTAAAAGATTATTGAAAAATTATTACCATTTTTCTTTGCTTAAAAGTTAATCAGATTTTGATAATTATGTCAGCAATATTTTCAGTACATATACATAGAATGTGCATGTGTGTGTATTTATGTGTGTATAGGCATGGATGTAGATATATTTGACTATACCTATGTAGGTGCATGCATGTGTATAGACAGGATTTTTTCATGAAAAATGTTGAAAATATCAAAATACTTTTACACAAAGGCCATTTTTAACCCCAAAACTTTTCAATTGAAAAGTGCCAAGCAGCTCTGATCTTTATAAACTCTTTTCCAAGCAGAATGACAGCTACATTTCCAGCTCACTTCTGAAGATATGGAAGGAAATCTCAGAAATTAAATCTGAGCCTTGTTTATCTCTGTATACTGTGACCAACCCCAAGATATCTGAATCCCTCATGAATACAAATATATTTAGCCGAACAGAACATATATGGGACAGGTGTCCCCATTTTACAGATGGGAAAACTGCGACAGAGGAGTTACTGGCACACATATTGAACCCATAACTTCTAAGTTTGAGACCAGTCTTTTAATCATAAAACCATCCCCCCTCCTCTGTTTTTGCATTCCACTGGTAAAAATAATGACCTAAAATCACTTCTGTGGCATAAATGGTGGTTGGCTCTTGTGCCGCATCCTCCCTTGTTAGACAGAGAGCAGGGACTGAGGCAACCATTCATTCCATTGGGAGCACATGTCCTGGGCTGGCCGGTCTGGTTCTGCTGTGAGTCACCAAGCCAAGAAATAAGCCTGGAATTAGCTGCAGTACTGGTTTCCCCCTGTGCTGTGGGTAGAACAAATGTGGTGACAGTTAAGGGGAAGTCAACTGAAATGTTTCACAGAGCTGTGGCACTGGGCTCAATGTCTACGGCAGAAGGCCTGTGAAGCAAAGGGCTTAGTGTAATGTGCACTGCAACAGGGTCACATTCCTGGAAAGAACTGCTTGCCAAAACCAAAAAGGCAACATCATCCAGGCTGTGCTTTGGGTTTTTTCTTTCCAAGTGCGTCTTTATTCTAAATTCTTTATTAGGACCATCAAAACCTGCTTTCTGTGGACAGTAAGAGCCAAAACCTCACCTGGTGTAAATCAGAAGAGCTCCATCAATTTCCCTGGTTATTTTATACAGTAGAGCCAATTGTATTCTGAAACCATGCGGACAGCTCACTTGGCCCCATGAGTTAGATGTGCCACAAGGAAACTCCTGGAAGTGAACTTCATAGAGTCCTCCACAGAGTATTCTCCTCAATCAGGAGGCACTTCAGGCTTTGCACAATTACTGGTACATTTGCTTCTTCTAAGTAATGCTAACTGGAGTCCTCCACTGCTCACTACACGGACATGTTTCCAGGTATAGGTAATAATCATGTCTCAGGCTCTGCAAACCCATATTCATGGAAATAGTTCTTGTCCAAAGAAGGAGGCCCTGGGTATTTAATTGGACTGCTCATGAAAGGAAGACCCATTTCCACAAAAAAGGTTCCCCAAAGTTGTCCCTTATCATCTCTGAAATCTAATCACACATTTTTTTCTTTACCTGGGATATATGATGGAACATAAAATAGAAGCCTCTGTCCTAATTTTAAGAGACAAAGAAGGGAATTAAAGTGGTGCTAAGGCTGACAGGGAGTCACAACAGCTGCATGATAAAGAAAGATGTGCCCACATGTGTACTGTTGTATGGGGAGAAAGCCAAGGCTAGGGGAACAGAATAAAGGAAAGAAGGTATTTATATGAAGCTGCAGCTATAAATTGAATCAATCTGTGAGTGTGACTCCGTGAGTGTGACATACTTTGGAGAGTGGTGGGGGTCAACTGATTTTTCAGTTCAGTGGCTGAATTCGATAATAATAATTTCTGGGTAGGCCAAAATTAAAATGTCTATTTTCTTTTTTTTTCCATTTTGCTGAAATTGTCTTAGAAGATCTTTGCTTATGTATGTTGATGCCCTGCTCTCAAAATGAGGATAACAAACTTTTTTCTCTCTGACCCTTTAGATTGCAACTTTTCCAAGGTAGAGTTAGGCCCATCCTATCTATATGGTACCTAGCTGATTGGGACCATAATCATGGTTGAGGCCTCTAGCAACCATCAGTTGGTACCAGTTAAGTTACCAGTGAATGGGAGAAGCTCTTTCTTTTTTATATAGTTTTACGTTTTGTTTATTGTAATACTTTTATCCCCAAATTATTTGATTCCATTTGAAAATAAAGGAAATATATCCTTATGTATCCAAGGTAAAACACTATTTTAAAAGTATCATTCCTGCCATGTCATTTAGCATTTAATAAATCAATTCAAGCATGTTTTGAAATAGCTATTATTATATATTTTCTAATTTTCCATTCATAATTACAGAATGAAAAAATAGTAGCTTAGAACATTCCTCTTTAAAAAACAAAAGTGTAGGATGATTTTTAGCCTGAAGTGAAGGATACAAAACCAGGAAGAAACATGTAGGAAGAAAGGGATATATATTTTTTGTGTGTGTGTAAGCAAGGCTTAAATGGAATAACTAAATTTACCATAATCAATAAAATGTGTGAGTCAAGTTTATTGAAGTGACTATTTCCCGTTGCATAATTTCCCTGGGGGACTTTAATTTTTAATTCAAAAATAAAAATAAAAAATGAAATAAAAACACTGAGCACTTTTTGTAAATATGCCAGCATACGTGTGAGGTTGAGGAAAGCACCAGACTACATCCAGAAATCAAAGCAGAGCTTACCACTGGTTTGACACTAATTGTAAAGGCTGAACATTTTCTAGAGCTGTAATCAAATATTAACTGCCATGGGGGACTCATTCAGCAGCTCAGAGTAATTCTAATAAGACGCAGAGCCTTTCACCTTCAGGTCACTGGTTCAAATTCAGTCTGGGTCAGTGGTAAACAAAGAGCAAAGCTTGAGTCCAGCTTACAGAGCCAGAAGAAGTAGTGGGGAGCTTCAGAGAAGGAGTAACCTTTTTCTCCTCAGGCTAATGAGCAATTCTGTGTGACTTCTGTAGACATTGGAAATCCCCTTATGTCTCTGTGCCTCATTTCCCCACCCATAAAATGACAATCATAAACCTTTTCTCCTCCCCCACCTCCACTTAAGAATGTAACCTTTTCAGATCTGGCATTGCAAAGACTAGAGAATGTTTCATTGTTTATTGGGGGGCTTTTTGTTGTTGGTGATGACGTTACTACTATTAAAATTTAAATAATAAGTGCACTATATCCATGTGTACTATTAGAGCTTCCTGTACTTTGCTCAAAACACCAAATTGAGTATTATACTCAAAACAGCCCCTCTCCCCACCCTAACAGAATGATCTGCTGATAATGACAATGCTTTGGAATAAATCCAGAAATCAAAAGCAATTCTCAGTCAAGTTCTCTGAGCTTCACTTGGTTTCATGGGAAAATCCTTGTATAACTGCAAATTTCATGCGTCTTGGATCCAAAAATCAGAGTCAGTCTAGGCTTTTTAGGTCCAAATTTCCCTGACATCAAAACCATTTCAGTTTTCCAGGCAAACACAGCTCTAAGTGACCTACAAGCATGGTCCTAACCTCATTGTGCCTTGCTTTAAACTTCATGTAGTGCCTTCTTTGTTCAAGCTGTATGATAGTTTGTCAATTCAGTGTATGTGTAGCAGCCGTAATATACTTGAAGCTGTGCAATGCAAAGCAGCAGAGATTGTTCCGGTGCTAAATAACGTATGGGATGAAGTTACACATTACACTTAGACCATACTAAATCTGTGGAATATTAAGTAGTGTTAAAGGAGGAACATGCTGTTAGTAGTTGAACATTAAGGTTAACACCATTTCTTGCCTGCACAGTTATGACTTGCCACTCTCAGAAGAGAGCTGTATTACTAGCATGGAGCCCTGGGGGATTTATCACAATGGGAGCATGGAATGGGGAGGGGAGGAGAAGCATGGGAGAGGGGGAACATGCAGCATGAAATCACAGGGAGCAGGAAAACAGCTTTCTCATGGCTCTGTATTGCCACCATGCTAAGCCCCAGTGGCTTTACTAGTAGCACAGAGCTGCCAGAGCATGGAGCGTGCTTTCCCACTTCCCATGGCTATGGCAGCTTCCAGTGCATCCTGGGATGCTGAAGGACTTTTCATGGAACTTGGGCTTCTCCACACACATGGGAGGGCATGTCTACACAAGATGCTTAACTGTGCAGTAGCATAGTTTACTCCTGAGTAAATGTGCAGTAGTGCTCATGTAGATGCCTGACCAGAAGCAAATCTGCTCCTGGTCAGCTGTCCACTAGGGGGTGGAAGATTGCTCATGCCTTGGCAGAAGGCAACAGGGACCTCCAAGCCACTGCTCCAAGGTTGTAATCCTTATATCCCAGCCTCCACTCTGCCATTACAACCAGGGAGTGGGGGGCTGGGAAATCCTTATCTCCCAGCACTGGCCCTGCAGCTGCAGAGCTGGCACTAGGAGATAAGGGTCTCCCAGCCTGAGCCCTGGGACTGCAGAGCTTGGGCTAGGAGGTAAAGGTCTCCCAGCACTGGCCCCATAGTGTAGAGCTGGTGCTGGGAGCTCCCTGCTGGCAGGGGCAGGGAACAGGCTGGGGAGCTTGTTCCCCACCCAGCTCCTCATTCATGAAGCTGAGTGGGAAACAAGCTCTCCAGCTTGTTCCCCAGCCTGTTCCCCACTCAGCTCCACACTCACAGAGCTGAGCAGGGAGCAGGCTTCTCAGCCTCCCCCCCTGCATGTGGGGTGGGGCCTGGGAACTGTCTTGGTCAGGGGCAGGTCTCAGTCCCATGCCCCAATCAGGTGGCTTAGGCACAGGGCTTGGAAAGAGCTGAGGTGAGGTAGCTGCTAACTACCCCATCACCAGACTGGGGCAAGCGGCTGGAACCTGCCCCTCCCCTGCAGCAATTTCCAAGTCTTCTGCCCCTGATCAGGGAGCTGGGGACAGGAGGTCTTTGCTGACCGGGCAGGGGGACATTGTTCCAGGCCCCATGCTCCCTGCCAGCCCCTGGGCTAGAACCCAGGGGGAGCCTAAAGCTCCCTCTGATGGCAGCAGGGGCCCATTGCAGGGCCTCAGGAAGCAGAAACAGTTTGCTGCCATTAGCAGCAAATCTGCTCCCACTTCTCTGCATGTTTAGATGCCTGCCTGGAAGAGTTTACCTGCAAGCAATTTACTCATGAGTAAACTGATCATGGATCAAATAGATGTGTAGACATGCCCACAGACAGCAAGGAATATATGCCTGAACAACTGATGTTGTAAAGTCAATGCAGAGAAGCCAAACGTCTGACACAGAATAGGTTTGGATCTAAGACCACTTTACACCTGCAGACAAAGACCCCTCCAAGTATTTAATAATGCACTTTAACTTACAAACCTTCCACATCATCAGTCAGTGCACCTTCTTTGCTGGATATCTTTAAGACAGTTAGATTGTCTTGAAACCTACCCTATATTGTGTAGGTGAAAAGAAAGACTGGTCCTTCAGGAGTGACATGGGGTTAACATGCTTTAATTCTGCCTAGCAAAGTAGAAAGCTTAAAAATGTGGCTTTGGACTGAAGATGGCTTAGTTGTCTTAAAGTGAAAGCAGCACACAATGCAACTTTTGATCATTATATACAAATGCCATATTTTTACAAAAACATTTCTGCTATTCATAATGTTTATTTCAGGAGTGGTTTGGGGCCCTCTGAGTATGGGCCCTGCATTGTGCTAAGAAAATAAAAAATCAGAAACAGTCCCTGCCCGAACAAGCTTGCAATCTAAATGGGCAAGACAGAGGGTATCAGGAGGCAAAAGAGCAGAAGCAGACAAATAGATAGTGGGAACAACAAAAACGCATGAGGTTAGGTCCGCACTTTTTTTTTGGTTTTGCTTTTTAAATCCTTTCATTATATTTTGCTATCTTGCCTTCAGTAGCTTTATGTTGTTATGTGGGTTTTAGCAAGATGGAAATCCAAAGAAAGGATGAAAGGAGGGGGTCAGGGACTGTGATGGAGAGCATGGATGGGGTTGGAGCAAACAGCCAGTCAGCACAGGTGATGGAATGATCCAAGTGAAAACTGCAAGAGGCCATCTGATAACACTGGGATGTGATTGTCCCTTCTCTGGTTGCTTTAGTTACTTTTCAGTTTCTTTCTTTGATGCCACATGGTGGAAGTGGGATGGAGGGGAGGGCTGCATGGGTCCTTATGGCCCCAGCATGATCTCCCTATGCCAGCATTTCCCAGACTTTTGACACCTGGGGCACACTTTTTTCTTGTATTAAAATTTGCAACGAACTTCATGCTTACACCTGAAAAATGTGTATACATAAACAGACACACATGTACATGCATGCACAGACACACACACACATGCACGCACACGCACGCTTTTTTTTAGGTGTAAGAAGGAAGTGTGTTGTGAATTTTATGTTTGGAATATATATATATATATATATAAAAACACAAATAACACATTCCATTCCCCTCTCAGAGGAAATCATATGAGTGCTAAGATGTATTCTTTAAAAATGTCATAAAATACATCTTTCTTTAAGCAAAAGATTTGACTCTTAACCAGTGGGGCTCAACGTTTTTAGTCTCAAGGCACCTCTCCGTAACTTTCCTGAATTTCGTGGCACACCAACTGAAAAGCACCAAGGGTGGAAACAGATGTTGCTTTTCATCACCTTTGCACTGCCATAAAATTTTTTACAGTGGCACAAGATGAAAGCAAATAGATGTCCGTACCCTTTGTCGCACCACAAATCCCTAGAGTTGTGGTTGTGACAAAAGGCAGTAATAATTTGAGCTGCTTTATTGCAGTGGACATCTATCTGCTTTATGGCAGGAGAATGTGAGCAGCCCAGAGCTGTTGGCACTCTCCAGCCACCTCCGGTATGCCTGCCTGGCTTTCCCTGCTTCCAGAGATATGCCCCAGGGGTCTCCAGGGCACACCTCTAGAAGCAGGAAAAGGCTTTCCCTGCTTCCAGGGAAGAACCCCTGGTAATCTCTGGAGTGTGTCTGTGGAGGTGGGGAACCAGCACAGTTGATCCTCTTGATTTAGTGATATTTATTTCTAGCCTGAGAGTTCAAAATGCAGAAAAGACATGGCAGAGAAGGGGGGAGGGGGCTTGAGGCTGTAAAAGTTGAAAATCACTTTTGATCTACCTGGTGCCACAAGGAGTTTGGCCCTAGGAGTCTGGGCCGAGTGGAGGGGACAAGTTGGGCTACAAAACACCGCTCTGTGCATCCAACCACCGTCCTGCTAGCATACTTCTGAGAGCATGGTGGGGATGGGCTGAGGGTGCAGGCGAGGTTAGGGAAAGGCAGCAGTAACTGCATAGGCCTGTGCAAAGCGGCTAGTATTCGCTTCGGATTCAGATTCGGCCAGTTTG